GACAGACAGACATATTTCCCAATCACTGGTTCCCTCCCCAAATGCCCACAATGGCCAGGGCTGTGCAAGGACGAAGCTGGGCTCTGGGAACATAATCCAGGTCTCCCCTGTCAGCAGCAGAGATACACACACTTCAGCCATTGCCTCCTAGGGTGTGCCTTAGCAGGAAGCTGAAACTGGAAGCAAAGCTGGGACTCAAACCCAGGCACTTCAGTATGGGGTGCTAGCTTCCTAACCTACATCTTACCACTAAACCAATAAATTTGAATATAGTAAGCAACTCTAATAAATTTTGAGTATAGCAAGCAAACTAGCTTTATTTTTGCAATAACAAAAGTGATATATATAGGAATAGGCCTATAAAAATGTTCAAAACAGACCTGAAGAAGTAGAAAAAACTTAACCAAAGGACAGAAGATTAGATTTTGATAAAGAAACCTATCTTGTTCTTTGATGATTTTCTTCTAATTTGTCTATTATTTTTAAATTTTTTAACATAAAGAGAACAGATTTCATGTATTTCATAGGTATGGTTCTAAGAAGATAACCATCCTTCCCTCTCTGTCCTGCTCTCTCCCTCAAACCCCTTCTTTTTTCTTCAATATTTATATACATATAATTTTAGTCCAATCTATAATCGCAGGATTAATATAATAATATAATATATATTAATTAATATGATATAATATAATCACAGATTAACCACAGGATTAATTAAACATAATATTCAACAAATAAAAAGTTGGAATACTATTGCTCCACAGGAGTTTAAACAATGACTGGAAACAACAATCATAACATAAGATGTCCGTTTCATTCCTATACAATTATTTATTTATTTGAAAGGCAGAAATACACAAGTGGCACAGGCAGGACTTGAAATGGCACCTATATAGGAAGAAGGCACTTCAAGCAGAGGCTTAACCTATTATACCACAGAGCCAGACCTCCCTATATATATTTTTTGTATTCTATATTAACTGCCACATATCAGAAAGAACAAGATATTTGTCTTTTGAGGCTGGCTTATTTTACTAAGCATCATGGTTTCCAGTTTCATTCATTTTGTCCCAAAAGACATGATTTCATTTTTTCATGGCTGAGTAGTATTCCATAGTGTGTGTGTGTGTGTGTGTGTGTGTATGCATGTATGTATGTATGCATGTATATCACATTATCTTTATCCAGTTATTGGTTGATGGGCATCTGGGTTGATTTCATATCTTCACTATTGTGAACTGAGCTGCAATAAACATAGGGGTACAGATAACTGTTTCATACCATATTATGGGATATAGTATAGAATACTATACAGCAGTAAAAAAAAATAATGAAATCTGGTCATTTGCAATAAATGGAGGAATCTGGAACACATCATGCTGAGTGAAATAAGCCAGTCCCAAATGGACAAATATCATATGTTCTCCCTGATCGGTGACAACAAACTGAGCACCAAAATGGACACCTGTTGAAGTAAAAGAGACACTATGAGAAACAGTGATTTGATCAGCCCTTTCTCTGACTGTTGATGAAAAACTTAACACTTTATCCCTTTTATTATGTTTTTTGTTCTACTTAATACCATTGGTTGACTCTTTAATTAACACACAATTACTCTTAGGTGTTTAAATTTAACTGAAAAGTGATCCCTGTTAAATATAAGAGTGGGAATAAGAGAGGGAGGAGTTGTGCAGTTTTGGACATGCTCAATTGGACTTTCCCCAAATGGTGGAGTTAGAAATGTGCCAGGGCATTCCAATTCAATCCCATCAAGGTAGCATGTACCAATGCCATCTCACTAGTCCAAGTGATCAGTTTCAGTTCACAATTGATCATAATGATAGGACTAAGAGTCAAAGGGATCACATAAACAAGACTAGTGTCTACTAATACTAACTGATAGAATTAAAAAAGAGAGAATGATCCAACATGGGAAGCGGGGTATACAGCAGACTCATAGAATGGCAGATGTCCTAAACAGCACTCTGGCCTCAGAATCACCCCTTAAGGCATTCAGATCTGGCTAAAAAGCCCATGAGAGTATTTTAGGCATGGAAAGCCAAGACACTGTGGCAAAAAAAAAAAAATGCCCTAAATGAAAGATCTCTGTGAGTAAGATCCCAGTGGAAAGAATGGGACATCAAAGAAGTAGGTACCTTTCTCTGAAGGGAGGAGAGAACTTCCACTTTGACTATGACCTTGTCTAAATAAGATCGGAGTTGGCGAACTCAAAAGGCTTCCATAGCCTTGGCAGTTCATGACAAGAGCCTAGGGTGATTGCTGACGCCATAAACAAGAGTGTCAGTTGTTAAGTCAACAACAGTAGTCACTGTGCACTTACTCTCCATGTAGGATCCCTGTCCTTATTGTGTTGTTCAATGTGAATTAATGCTATAACTAGTACTCAAACAGTACTTTACACTTTGTGTTTCTGTGTGGGTGCAAACTGTTGAAATTTTTACTTAATATATACTAAATTGATCTTCTGTATATAAAGAGAATTGAAAATGAATCTTGATGTGAATGGAATGGGAGAGGGAGCAGGAGATGGGAGGGTTGTGGATGGGAGGGAAGTTGGGGTGGGAGGAAAGCCACTGTAATGCAAAAGCTGTACTTTGGAAATTTACATTTATTAAATGAAAGTTAAAAAAATTAGGATAGAAACAGTCTTTTCAACAAATGATACTGTACAACTGGATGGGCCAAAAACATAAAAATAAGACAAATAAAAAATAGCAAAAAGTACCCCATCAATACACATTCCACTTGTAGTCTTGTGTTAGGCAAAGATCTCTTAAATACAAGCTGAATGCACAATTCATAAAAGAAAAATCAATAAATTTAGTCTAATCGGTGACTAGGGACCTGTTGTGGAACCAATGGGGGTAATAGAAGATGAGTAAAGATGATTTCCAACCTGCAAGTATTCAAGGGGAAATACTACACTGCCAAGTTCACCAAGAACAACAGCTCATTACTAAACTGTCAGTGCTCAAATTAGGCACTCCGTCCTAGGTGATCAGGGGGAAAGTCATGAAGTATTTGACATATGAGCCAAATCCTCAAGGGTGAAAATTTTTTTGACTAAAAGAAGTGGGCCTCACAGTTGGAAAGAATAGAGGGAACCACAAGGCAGAGAAGTGGGAAGTGGCATTTGTGCGACTCAGGAAAGGAGGGACCATATCACATGCATCTCGATTTCTTGTGGCATTTAGCATTATGGCATACAGTCCATACATAGCACTTACTGAGTTAAATTAGTTACATTTGATTTTAACTAACTTCATCAAGATACAAAATAAAAAATGAGGTAGAACGCTATATCTTTCATAAGACCATGTTAAGTGCATGAATTTATTAACAGTAACATCAAAATTTGAAAGGGTAACTTAAAAATAATTTTAATGGCTTTTTTGAAGGTAGAACAGCTATACACAAAGTGCTGGTGCAGTAGGATCTAGTCCCTATTTGTTTAAATATTATCTGCAAAATAGGCCGGCGCCGCGGCTCACTAGGCTAATCCTCCGCCTTGCGGCGCCGGCACACCGGGTTCTAGTCCCGGTCGGGGCACCGGATTCTGTCCCGGTTGCCCCTCTTCCAGGCCAGCCCTCTGCTGTGGCCAGGGAGTGCAGTGGAGGATGGCCCAGGTGCTTGGGCCCTGCACCCCATGGGAGACCAGGAAAAGCACCTGGCTCCTGGCTCCTGCCATCGGATCAGCGCGGTGCGCCGGCCGCATCGCGCTGGCCGCGGCGGCCATTGGAGGGTGAACCAACGGCAAAAGGAAGACCTTTCTCTCTGTCTCTCTCTCTCACTGTCCACTCTGCCTGTCAAAAAAAATAAAATAAAAAAAAATATTATCTGCAAAATAAGGAAATGGGTTAATTAAGTGCTTAGGAAGTTTATTTTGAAATGAGGGATACCCAAGACCTGCCCTAGGTTTCTCCCAGGATACTGTGGTACCATTCCACCAGGTAGTCAGCCAGTGAAAATGATAGAGATTCCCCAGAGCTTCCTGGTAGGTTGTATACCTGGTACACAGGATGCCCAGGATTCAAGTTTAGGAGGTACAACTGTACTAAATAGAGACAGGTGATTCCTCCCCTGAAGACCTGGCATTCCTGCCACCCAGTATGGAAGGGCTGGGTGTTCATTCCCTGAATCTTAAGAGGTATAGGGAGAGATTTTTAAAAATGTGTAACTGGAGGAAAAACCCAGAAGGAATGGACATGTTAAGCAGGCAGGACACGGACCACAAATTACTTTCTACTCAAGAAGTCCATTTGCAGGGAAGAAGCCCATTTCATTCCCAGGCGCACATCAAGCAAAATAATTGAATTATTGTCCAGAATCATCAAGCATTCATCCCAATGCAGCTTTCTTTCTAGTCTACACAGGGCTAGATTGTATCCAGCCATTCCACCTACAGGAGACTGTCAATCCATCTGCAAACAAAAAGTCAGAGAACGCTGAGCTCCTGGCTTCTTAGGACAATGGCTCAGGATCTAAACTCAGTAGAAAAAGATGCTGCAGTGGGAATAAAACTCATAAACTCTCTCCCGGTCCGCAGCCACGTCCCATCACTCCTATCCTAGTCATTCCTCTGATTCTTACCTGTAGACAACTCTCATCACTACCCTTGAGAGGAGTATGCAGGGGGTGGGGTAAAGGGGGAAAGAAAACTCAGACATTCTTTCTTGGATGCAAGCAAAACTAAAAAGAAATGCAAAGTAATTTACATCCTCCCTGATTGGTGTTCAGGATGGCATTCTGCTGCTTATCATACACCATAACTGTCAAGGAAGACATCTAACAGGAATTCAAGGAGAATTCTAACTTATCTCTCACAGCACAAGAACCTTTACAAGTACAAAAAGGAGTACACTACTCAAAAGCCATACACACACACACACACACACACATTATCTCAGGGGCAGAAGATAGCATATGAAATCCAACCATTTCTGTGCTGATCAGGGGATGATTTAAGTGAAGAGTCTTACTTTTAAATGTATTGATCTGGTGTATCCAGGCTTTTTTCTATCAGTATGCTGGCAACCACATCGAAGAGAACAATCTTGGATTTGGAGTCAAGGAACAGCATGAAAAACTTCTGGCTCAGATCCTCAAAGACTTGTTTTTCCCACTGTGTACAGGTGCTACAAAGGAAATGAAACAAAAGCATGAAGACATAGGTTTACCACCAAAAAAAAAAAAAAAAAAAAACTTGCCCTTACAGTTGGCTAGAACACTCTAAATCTACCAACACATGGAAAGATGAACTTTGAGATACAGTCAGCAGCCTACTAGATCCACACCATAAAAGTCAGCTCTTAAAGAAAAGGAACAATATGGCTCATGAAATTTCTCCATAGTTGCCCTAAAATCCATAAATATACATTGTATACTTCTTGTGATGCTTTCTGCTCATGCATCATTTGATAGAACCCATGCAATATTTCAAACAGATTACTGGAGCAGGATCAGAGGACTGGGTGGGTGTCTGTAACTGTTTCCAGGACCAACTCCCCTTTCAAAGCCAAGGGCTCCATTTTATTTCTTTGTACCCACAGCCAACTAACAACAATAGATACCCATTTCTTCCATTTCTTTTTAGAAATATGTGAATAAACTATACCTAAGTAGGAGACTGATGAGTTGTGTGCAACTCTGGATGGCTGAAAAACCCTGAAAGATGGCTGTCATCCATGGTTATTAGGATAAGGGCTGGCTTACAGGGTAGATTTAAAAGGTGTCATCTGTGAATCCTTGAAACCCTGGCCCATCTCTTTTTATTTCTATTTGTTATAATTTCAAGTGAACTATAAGTGATACTTGTATTGTGTCATCTTAGCAACAGGGGTTGAGTGAGAATGGTGAAGATCAATGGCTACAGAGAAATGTGAGTTGGTGAGGGAGAACAATGCAGATAAAAAATAAGAAATGATTTTCATCAAAGGAAAGCAACCATTCTTATCGACACTTTCCAGAATGAGGTGCTTTCTAAGTAATCTATTCCAATTCATAATTAAATACAATTATTTGAAAAGATAAGTCCTTCAAAGTAAATTTTATTTAAAGTCTTACACAGGGACTGGCATTGTGGTTTAGTGGGTAAAGCTGTTGCCTATAATGTCAGCATCCCATATAATGGGCACCATTTTGTGTCCTGGCTGCTCCACTTCCAATACAGCTCCCTGCTAATGGCCTAGGGAAGCAGCACAACATGGCCCAAGTGTTTGGGCCCCTGTCAGTCATGTGGGAGAGTCATATGAAGCTCCTGGCTTGGGCCTGGCCCAATGTTGGCCATTGAAGCCATCTAGGGAGTGAACACTGGATGGAAGATCAATTTCTCTGTCTCTTTCACTCTTTGTGTAACTATTCCAAAATGAATCTTAAAAAAAAAAAAGACTCCTAAAAAGAAAACAGTATGAGGCTATCAATTTTTTTTAACAGGCAGAGTTAGACAGTGAGAGAGAGAGACAGAGAGAAAGGTCTTCCTTCCGTTGGTTCACCCCCAAAATGGCCGCCACGGCTGGCTGCACCAATCCAAAGCCAGGAGCCAGGTGCTTCCTCCTGGTCTCCCATGCAGGTGCAGGGGCAAAAGGACTTGGGCCATCCTCCACTGCCTTCCCAGGCCACAGCAGAGAGCTGGACTGGAAGAGGAGCAACCGGGACAGAATCTAGCGCCCCGACCAGGGCTAGAACCCGGGGTGCCGGTGCTGCAGGTGGAGGACCAGCCTAGTGAGCCGAAGGCACCGGCCGAGGCTATCAAATTTAAAATGGGAGCACTGTTGGTAAAGTCCATCCAAAATCAGCCAAACACCAAGTAAGCTGCCTCTAGACAGGTTTTAAGCAAGATCAAGTAGGCAGCCCAGTTGGAGGCCATCTGTCTGCATTTCCTTAGCAGAGGAAAGAGGACATCTCTTTCTAGAGCTGTCAATTTGCCACTTTCCCGCCTCAGCAGAGAATCTCTTGAGAAGAGACCATCACTCTGCTACAAGGCTACAACAGACTCACCAAAAGGACAGTGGAGTTAAGAGAAATCAACAACTGGTGATCTTAGGAGTCTGGATATACATCTTTTTTATGGCCTCCAAATTTATACTGTACCAGGTAAAGGTCTTTCTGTTGTAAGAATGCCATCTGCTCTTAATATTTCTGCTCCTTTCCTCATCTTTGGAGGTAGCTCAGGCTTTTGGACTTATTCTTGGCTACCTAACTGACCAGATGCAGCAATTACAGCACATTTGCCATGTCATAGATGCTTCTCCTTTGAACACATGTTTGGACAAAAAGAAGCCAAGAGATACCACGCAGACAAACATTCTGGAAGATAAATTTCAGATTCATATTAACACCAATAGAAGCACATCTACCTTTTTACTTCACAGAGATCGAAAAATCAATGTTAAGCAGTTAGAAAACTCTGCTATAGGTCAGTTGCCTTAAGTAGTCTATAACTAGGTAAGTTAAGCATGCTTGACAGATTGCTTAATTTCCAAATATATCTTGAACAGAGAAAAGGGAATAAACTTTCTTTACTTATGGGAAAATATTTTAGAGCATTTGCTTATATATAATCTGTTTAGTTCTTTTTATAGATCGGTATTTTTGTCACTGTTTATAGGTCACCATGTTAACCATATTTCCCCTCTCAGTAGTACTGTTTTTCCATTCAATACATAGATGTGCCTACTAAGTGCATGACACCCTGTGGACTTTGAGAAGATTTATAGACCATTGTAGAATCACAAATCAGTTGAGCAGATAAGATATAATGAGAGTTAATATTCAACAAATAGCTAAGTTTTTTTCCAGCTAGAAAATAATCTTTATACAAGTTATATCTTTATTTACTTATATACATATATAAAATTACATGTTTTAGGTGCCAGAGCTGTGGCACAGTGAGTTAAAGCCCTGGCTTGAAGCACTGGAATCCCATATGGGCGCCAGTTCTACTCCTAGCAGCTCCTCTTCCAATCCAGCTGTCGGCTATGGCATGGGAAAGCAGTAGAAGATGGCCCAAGTCTTTGGGCTCCTGCACCCAAGTGGGAGACCTGGAAGAAGCTCCTGGATCCTGGCTTCAGATTGGTACAGCTCCAGCCATTGCAGCCATCTGGGGAATGAACCAGCAGATGGAAGATCTCTCTCTCTCTCTGTCTCTACCTCTCTCTGTAACTCTGTCTTTCAAATAAATAAAATAAATCTTTAAAAAAATTAAATGTTTTAGAAATGCTATCTTCCTAAAACAATTTACTCAAACATTTCTCATGCATTTTCACTGTCTTCATCTCTAACATCTGATTTTGGAGACATTTACCAGTATTCAACACCCCTACCTAAGAATTTTTTTTTTGAATCAGCTTAGTTTTTAATCATTTGATGTGACTACTGGACATGTCACTTCCAACCCATCTCCCTGCTGATGTGCCTGGGAAGGCGGCAGCAGATGGTCTAAGTCCTTGGATCCCTGCCACCCATGTGGGACACCTGGAGGTAGCTCCTGACTCCTAGCCTTGGCCTTGCCCAGCCCCACCTGTTGCAGTCATTTGGGGAGTGAACCAGCGGATTGAAGATCTCTACCTCACTCTCTCCTTTAAAGATTTATTTATTTATTTGAAATGTGGAGATAGTGAGGAGATACTGAGAGAGAGAGAGAGAGAGAGAGAGAGAGAGAGGGAGGAAGAGCCCTTCTATCTGCTAGTTTACTCCCTAGATGTTTACATCAGCTGGGGTTCAATCAGGCAGAAACCAGGAGCCAGGAGCTTTATCTGGGTCTCTCACATGGGTGCAGGGACCTAAGAACTTGGGCAATCTGCTGCTGCTTTCCCAGGCTCATCAGCAAGGAGCTGGATCAGAAATGGAGTAGCTGGGACTTGATCTGGCACCTATATGTGATGCCAGCATAGCAGGTGGCAGCTTAACCCACTACACCACAACACTGGCCCCAAGAAAAATAATTTCTTACTAAGGAAAGATTCTTACACTTAAGGAACAACTGAAGAATTTTTATTGACTCCTTAATTGCACATGAAAGAACTCTTATGATTTAAAACATAGCATTTCTCCTGCATTGAATTTCATGAAATCTCATCTCCAGAAAGTTGTGAAATGCAAGTAAATTTCAATCACTTGCTTTTGAAACCATAATGACTCCACGATACTCTTTGGAATATCATACAACTAGGACTAGAAATCCCTGGAAAAATAAGAATTTGCTAGTTGCAAATTGTCATCATTTTGAATGTGAATACTCAGTAATTTGTGGCAGAAAAACTGAGTCAGATTATTTCACCTTAATTTCAGCTAAAAACTTGGAAACTCCCTGGTTCTTGTCACCAGGAAACATTGTTATTACTCATTTCTGAGGGTAACAAATCCTTTCTTATCTCTGGTCTGATGTCCAGTCTCCCACCATGGTTAGATCACTGCATTCCTTGCTCTTGCCACAGTAACTGGCAAGAAGCACTGGGTGTGTAATCCAATCTAGTTAAAGGAAAGCTGAACTGAGGGCCTTGGTTTAACAACATGAGTATGGAGGTGGAGGTGCTAGCAGCTGTTTGGCCACTATAAGAATTTAAGAATTAATCTAGCAAAAATGAAAATAAAGATGGTTAAATCCTTTGAGCTCCCGAGTTCAACTGTTCCTCATCTTATCCTGGACTGCTCACTTTTGTGAATCAATAAATTCTCCTTTTGAATCATTCTGAATTGAAGCCACTGTTCTTTGAAACAAACGATATCAACAAACAACACAGAAAAAACCTACCAAGACTAGCTATCACCAAACCATCAGTTTTGATTTGTAGCAAATTAATTCTAAGGTTCATAAATGTACCTTGCTGCAGTACCTTGCAACAACAAGTGAACATATTTGAAAACTTTCCTTTTGTGGTTACATATATCTTTTATTCCCTTTGCTAGAGACAGCTGTTCCATTTCTTAAATCTAGAATGAAACATGAGCCTGCCTATAAAAACAGACACACAGCATTGGTTGTAGCAGCCTGAACTGCCTTCAGTTTGGAGTGCAATTAGGGATTATGATATTGAATTTGGCCCTTCCCTCCAAAGTTACTCAACTTCTGAGTGCTCATGGATACAACAGACATCTGCTGGAAGTCTCCTTACAATTCCTGGGAAAAACAAAGGTG